GTCGATGTCCCAATATTTCTGGACCTGACTGTATTTACTTCAAAAAAGGACATTGCATTCTTCCAGTGAAAGAATGGCCATATTTTTGTGATGGATATAAAATCCTTCTGAAATAGGAGACTTTCTAAACAGGCTGTAGGGTGCCTTCAGTGCAAACTTGAATGTTACTTTCAGTTTATGCATTGTATCCAAGTTTTGAAAATTTATGTTCAAATTCCTGCATAAATATGATGTTCAAGAAGTAAAATCATGGTCTCAGCCAATACTACAGGATAGATGCTGTTATTGCTTCTTGGAATAACGGATTTCTTGGATTGCTTTCCATAGCATCTTAATTCTAGACCAACAGAATACTAGTCAAAGACATATTCCTACAAAACATTTTTCTATGTAGTTTGTATATTGCAGTTATATGTTATAGGGAAGATTGGAGGTAGGTCACTCACCTATTATTGTTCACTTTTTCTTTCAAGATAAGCTTTCGAGGAACCCCCAAACTCCTTCAAGCGTTATTAAATTAAAATAATTTCATTTTGAGGGAGATACAGTACAAATATAACAAATTAATATAAAGAGTTATTTGCTACCTGATTTAAAAAACAAAGACTCAAAGTTTCTTGCAGGATAAAAAACATTTTATAATCCTGGAGCTAAGTGTATTTTTCAGAAAAATGAGAAGAAATCATCCCACCAAGAAGGGAAAAAACGCATTATATTCATATTTCCGCCCATAGGAGTCGCAGCATATAAATAATAATAATGATAATAATAATGTTGATAATAATAATTCCAAGGTTATGTTAATTTTCTTCTTAATTAATAATTGAAACTGAGTTATTACTAAAGAGAACAAGAGAGTGAAAGTGCTAAAAACAATAGGAGGAAGATAGATGGGTTGTTTTTGAACCAATTTTAATAGAATGTTAGATTGGCTTCTGAAACAGTAAGATTGTCCTCCAAAGTGCTGGCTTGTGGTTCTTTAGAGAGCTGTCTGTAAGATTGGTATAGTTTTATTGGAAAGAGACTTGTTTCTTTAGCCAAGTCAAATTTGTTTTACCAGCTACTACAGGTAGTCCTTGAGTTATGACCATTTGTTCAGTGACTGTTTGAAGTTACAAGGGCACTGAAGGAATGGACTGATGACCAGTCCTCAAAGTTCTGGCCGTTGCAGTGCCCATGTGGTCACGTGAACAAAATCTGGGCGCTTGGCAACCAGCTCGCACTTACGACTGGTTACAGCGTCCTGCGGTCACACGATTGCCATTGCTGACCTTCTCTGCTGGTTACTGCAAGCAAAGTCAATGGGGAAGCCAGCAGGGAAGGTCACAAGTCGCTTGGGTAAATCTCCCCCACCCCCTCTGGCCTTTCTTTATTCACATGCACTGCACCCTCTTTCCCCGTCCCCCCTGCACTCGCACACACACATGCATTCACCAGCTCCCTCTTTCCCTGGGCCTCCCTGCACTCACACACACACACCCTGCACCCTCTTTCCCTGGCCTCCCTGTGCTCGTACTGCACCAAGCACCCTGTCCCCCAACTCACATGCAGCCTGTGTTGGTTGTCCCCCACCCCCTGCAGCACCCCTACACTCCTTACCTGGGACTCCCTCCGCTTCCTGCTTAACGACCTGCGTATCCTGGGGCTAGGATAACAACTGGGACTATGTGGATTGCCGTCACTAAGCAATGTGGTCATGTGACCTTGTGCTTTATGACCACATTGCTTAGCAATGGCAATCTTGGCCTTATTGCCATTGTAACTTGAGGACTATCAGACTGCCAAATCAGCACAAGTCACATACTGAATATTCACTGGAAGTCTTTGATGGGAACAGAGTTTGTTGAAGTTCTGGAATCAGTGGACTGTAAGCAAGGAAACCAGCTCCTGCTCACTTATTCATTGCAATATGTAAGTGATTTTTAGGCTGCAAACTGGATACTTACATACTCCAACTGGGTTATTCGGTGTCTTGCGAATGAGCTGATCTTTCTGGATTGCCTGTTGCAGAGCCATGGTCATGGCATATATCAAAGTCTGCTTCACAACCTATCACTTCCTGGTTTCCTGTTGTTGACACCAGTATTAAAATGTCTCTAGATTCAGTTGTTGGTAAATTCAAATGTTAGTGCTTGCTTCCAATTCAGTCTTATGGGATTCTTTTACTTTCTCATTTAACATTGGTTTTAATTTTAAGTTTTGCTGTCATAAACCAGGCTGCTATGGGCTAGCAGTTCAGAGTCAGCTATAAAGATTGGAATCATGAGTGGACTTCCATTACTTGCCAAGGCCATGGTGCTGTAAGCTAAGGAGCTTTAAAGCCTTTTCTGTTTTGTGTCCTGCTGCAGCTAGGCTAGAATCTTACATCATTGTATCAAATCTTTTCAAGCAACTCCCTTCTTTTGTTCTTGAAGATGGCCTGTAATCTGTTCTTTTTCCTCCTTTCTCATCTCCCACTTCTTGATTTTCTCCAGGTCATCCGGCGAGGCTGGCTGACAATCAACAACATTAGCATCATGAAAGGGGGCTCCAAGGAATATTGGTTCATCTTAACAGCAGAGAGTTTGTCTTGGTACAAGGATGAAGAGGTATGTAATATATATCTGCTGCATGTCATGGGATGTTTTTTCAATTGTTGTCCTATTCCAGCAGAGTTCTGTTTTATTCTGCAATTAAAACAAGCCAAAAGCTGCATTTGTTTTTATATAAAACTTAGTTTAAATTATGCATTTTGTACACAACTTTGCCCAAATATATACCATGTGTTCAAATTTTCAACTGATAAATATTTTGGAATGGATGCTAGTGTGATACAAGGATTAGATAAAACAAGACTTAAGTTCAGACAGAACCATGGAAGCTCGCTGGGTGACTGGGCCTATGATCTCTCAGCCCAGCCTAACTCATATGACTGCTGTGGAAATAGCATTGAAAGAGGCTATATTGAACTCATAGAACAAAGGGGGATTATCTAATGAATATTAATAGCAATAACACACGCTGTGAATTTTGTTTATTTGTGCCATTATGGGTTCAGTTTTGGAGGATCTCACTTTAAAAGTAACTATATCTGATTTTTTCCCAATACTCCAAGCTTTAGCATAGAATAGAATACATATAATTTGAGAACAACCTTCTTAGTAAAACTTTTTCCAATCAAGATATTACTTAAGCCCATTTTAATTCAGAATTCTGTTTCTCACAGTGACCAGCCAAGTACCCCTGAGGTATTTTTGAGCAGGAAGTGGAAACATAGCCCTATCCTGTTGTTCTCCTGCAGCTGGTACTTGGAAGCCCACTACCTCCGATCTGGAGGTAACATTGAGTCTTCAAGACTGATAGCATTAGTGGACTTGTCATCCATAACTTTAGAAAAGCTGGGAGGAGGGTATTTGGAAGATAATGTCTTATAAAAAGTCACACTGTTTGGTCAAGTTCATTCTACAGTAGGTACCCCTTTAGTTTACCAGATTCCTTTGAGTTGTGATTTGAGAGTTTTTGCCCTCTAAAATGGCCTGGAAATATGTTAAATATTTTAAATAAGTAAGCTTCATGATATGTTCTGTGCACCATCAAGCCCTGTTAGAAGCTTTGCTGTATTTTGGACTAACTGAAGTTCCTAAGCAATCTCTAAAGACCATCCAGCATAGAGTATTTCACAGTCTAAGATGAAGGTTTTCAGGCTATAGCTAGCTGTTTTTGTCCAGGAGGGGCTACTGCTAGTAGGGCTAGCTGTTTTTATTTTGTCCTATTTTTAATAAACATTTCATTGAAGGGATATCTTCAATGAAATTCTGAAGATAATTTACATAACAATGGTAAATTAGGAAAAACAACAGATAAAAAGGGTCTTGGTAAAATGCTACAATGAATAAAATAAGCAGATTTTAAAAGATCTTAAAAGTACCATAATACTTAGAAATAAAATTAATCTGAAAAAGGGTGAAAAAACAAAAATATTTTTTTAAAGTAATAAAGTAATAATTACATAAATGCTAAGCAAGCAGAGTTTTGAAATGAGTAAGTGGAAGTTGACATACTGAATGAAATTATAGAAATAGCTAGAGTTCTTTCTTCTCTCCCTCTACCCTTACTGCTTCTTACGTACACCAATAGATTGTCACCCCTTTAAATAGTATTTCTAGATCTCATTTTAGAGAACATTTTAGGTGGGAACTCTCAACTTTCAGATTTTATATTATCAAGGTTTTTCACTGGGAAATTACTAGCTGGAGCTTATAAAGTCTTAGAGCTCTAAATCTGAATTTTGAAGAGTTTTGCTTAATGTTTAACTTTTACACATGAATGCATTAAAATGTAGAGAAACTGAAGTATTTATCTCCCCTACCCACCCACAACAGTTGAGCTGCTATTGAGTCATTCAGGCTAAGTTAATTTTACCACAAATAAGGATTGATGTAACTCAGAGTATTTTCCTTAAAGAGAACAAAGTTATGACAACTTAAATTGTGAATGGTTTAGCAAGTCAGAACTGAATCAGAGATACCTGTGTAATTCATTTCTGAGAAGATGTATGTTCTCTTATTTGAACTTGGGAATTGTGGAGTGAAGGAAAGAAGCATAATGACATTCCTTCCATGTGTACCATGCATAACAATGCCTTGCCCTTTGCCTGGTGGCTGGTCCATGATTAAAAGCACTGAGCCGCAGAAGAGAAGGCAGCGTGTTGTCTGCCTGATGGGTGGCCTCTGTCCCCTGAGAGGAGACTCCTGTTTCAGCCTCGTGGCTCCTACTGTTTTTGTGGAGTGCTCCCTGGGTACAATTGGACCCAGATTCAGGTAAGGAACAATATGGGTTGAAAGGAAGGGTTGAGGGTATTTGGAGCAAGACTGCCTTAAGACTGAAGCAATGGATTCTGTGTGGTGGGTAGTATGGTTTAATAAAGGAATGAATACTTCATTGTATGGTTGAGCTATAGCCAGAGAGTAGCTATTTACAGCAAGGCTTGGCTAGTTTTTTGTGTGTTCAGTTCTGTTATATGATTTACAGGATGCCGCAAACGTCTCCCTTTTTAAAAACTCCTTACATCCTGTGCAGCCCTGATGATTTCATCCCAAGAACTTTAGAATCTCTCACAAGGATACACATTCTCATGTGATTTTGGTGTTCTCCAAATTGCCCAAACTTCACCAAATATTGGCTATGTTCTTTAAAAATAGTAATTTAAAAATACACAATTTTGAGACTGTGCAGACACCATTTAAAGTTGTTATGGATGTCCTGAACTTGCAGAAACCAAGCTCCCCATCTCTGGATTAAGGCAAAACCTCTCTAGTTTGCAGACTCTAGGTACATTGAGGAAGCAAATAAATTTTACTGGAATTATTTACATTTGGATAATTGCCACATTTCACTTAATCTGCTATTTCTCATGCATGATTCCTGTGCACTATTGGCTACAAACCTTTTAGAAGCCACATGGTTTAAACTGAGTGATTTGTTTAGCAGTGAAAAAATTATAAATCAATTTTTTCTTATCGTCTTCTTCCTCCCCAACACAAATGCCTGATTTGATGATATATTTTTGTTTTTTGTACAGCAAACTCATACAATTTTGATTGGTGTTCTTGGTGTTTATGCATGCTTTTGTGGCTAGAAAATTCCTAATCACAGGTTATACATCCATTTAAAAATCTTTAATGATTACTTAATAGAAGATTAAACAGCTAGTTTTTCAGCATCTGTCGGAGGCAATCGCAGCAGGTGGCAGCCTCTAGCTGCCCATGGTTGATTCTAAAAAGGTTAAAGTTGGACCTGGTTACTACTTGAATGAGAGATTAAGAGTAAATATCAGACTGTAAACTAGATTGGGGAGTTGGGAGAAAAAGAAGGGCAAACCATGTGTATGCATATGTACATGTGCATATATATCATGTAGCCAAAGAAAGCTACATGGACATGTCCATGTTGCCACCAAGAGTTGAGCTTAACTAAAGTGAGTCTGTAGACCAAATGAGCGCAAATATGAAGGAACAAGAAAGTTTCTGAAACTAGCAGAGTCATTGTTTAATGACTGTATTGTTTATGATTGTTTATGATTGTATTAGCCATGTTAATCTGTAAAGTAGATTGCTCCTCTACTTGCAAATAGTAATACATCTGGCAGTCTCACCTATTACGTTTGCACCTACACTTATTTTTGTTGTTTTAGCCCTACTCCTCTTCTTCTTCCTCTGCAGGTTGAGGGAACATTGGAGATGGGCTCAGTGGTATGTTAATCACATGCTTGTAAATTCTAAATTTTTAATTCCAATTGCTCTGAAGCTTAAAATAAATTTGGCAAATTTTCTGCATGTTTAACCAAACATAAAACCAGCAAAATGGGGCTTAACCTTGTCCTTTTGCTTGCTGAATTATGTTCCCCTGATATAAAAATACTTGTCCCACATAGGTGATTACTTTATAATGCCCTTCTCTATACCTTCCTAGTACCTTCTCCCCTTAGGTGTGCCCCATTTTCTCTATATATTGCCAACCATGCTTGAGCACAGTGGTTTGGTTTGTAATGGGGCCACTCTTTTGAGTACAGGCTGCCTGCTTTTGATGATGGCATGTCCGTTTGGAAGTAGTCATATGCTCAAATTGGATCTTCTCATAATTTGCTGATCTTGCTGGTCTATTCTTGTTTTCCTCAACATGCTCCTCTGTTGCAGCTGTTGTGGAACTCAGGTGCCTATAGTAGCCTCCATCCCTTTTTTGTTTTCAATACCTGAAGCCAGTTTATAGGACCAGCTAGTTGGCAGCACCTTGCTGACCATGGCTGATGTCAGAAAAGCTGAGTATGATTGGACCTGGATAAGTATTTGGATAAGGAGACTGCCAAGAACTCCCAGAGCTATAGGCTAGATTTAGAAGTTGAAAAGAACAGAGTAGAAAAAAGCATTGCCAAGTGCTTTTGTATTATTGCCAAGAAAAGTTGCATGGACCAAGAACAGAGCTTAACTTGAGAGAATCTTTATTTTTGTTCACTAATTTCACCCCTTTCCCCACCCAGATGGGTGTTGAGATAATAGTTTGTTTTAGTTCTGTGCCTAGCAAAGATCCTTCCTAGGAAGAGAGGGCTTCATCTGGGTGACTGATAATTTGTATGCAAATTGGTCTGGCATTTGGCCAATGATTTATTGGGATTTTCTCTTGTCAGTCCTGTGTTCCATCCATTTTCCCCCATGTACAGCCCATCGCAACTAAGATACTTTATTCTAGCCGGTATGCAACTTGAAATAAAAAACACAGTCAGTGGATTTGGCCCTGTGGTGCCCTGAGCTTCAGTGTTCTTTCAACCTGCAGAGGAAGAGAGAGAGCTGAAAACAATAGAAAGTGTGGATGCATGGCAGCCAAGAAAGCACATCCTAATTATGACTGTGGAAGATATGTTCATTCAACTTTTATTGATGGTGCAGAATACCTTAACTTACCATTTATCTGGGTTTTGTTGCATAGATCATTTTATAAGCATTTTTTCTCTTAAACTGTTTTTTAAAATATTCTAGATCTAGAATATTAAAAAGTTGTAGTTTGACTGCTCAGACTACTCAAATTTTGCTTCATAATTTCTGCTTCTGGATAGATCATATAGAATATATAAGTTTTGCATATTTCCTCACACTGCCACTGAAAATCTGAAAGTTTTCATTTACATATTATAAATACAAATTGTGATTAATAAGCACTATAGAAAAAAAAATTCTTAAAATTTGTATCACGTCTCTTCCAATGGGTTAAGACTCTTTTATAGACTACAGTAAATATCACTAACTTCAGTTATGCACAAAGATTGGTTTTAAGCAATGACAGAGGGAAAAATAACTTAATTTTGGAATAGGAGAAAGAATTTGCAGGGATCCAGTATTTTAGACATTTGGGTAGAGCTGGGATTTGGGGTTTGGGTGTATGAAACAGTCTCCATATGTTTCTCACTCAAAATATTAAGCCATACTGTTGATATTAGGCAATCATGTTGTTCCAAGTCAGTGGCACATCAGCTGGAGCCTCAGAGGTTACAAAAAGGAGGTTGGGAGATTGCAGGTTGCCAACCTCTGGTTTGAAAGCCACACTCTAAAATACACTCTTTCTCATGCCCTCCTGCCATATCTTAGGCAGTAACATGGAAGAAAGTTTTTATAAAAGAAAATATTTTTGTCTGGAGTTTTTAAAGAAGTTGGAAAGATGAATAATGGAGTACTTGGAAGAAGTGGATATTGCTATATCGTTAGGTTATATTCTATGGCATAATAAATGTAAGAACAGAAGTAGAACAATTGTTGCTTTTTACCTTAAAAGATAGAGAAACAGGTAAGTGTAAATATGATGAGTGTCTTGTTATATCCCCCTCCCTTCCTGCACGTATGAGTAAAATTGAATTCATACATGCCAAAAACCTTGAAGCAATCAGATGTTAATACTGGGCCCAGCACCCACTGTAATGTACAGTTGAAAAGTGGCGAAGTCGGTAGAAGAAGGGTAAAGTAAAATAGCAGGTCATTGATAAACCCTTTATGTTTTATTGACAGGATTTACTTATTGAAATGCCTTTTTCCAGAAACTTTGCCTAGGTGTATATGATTTTCCCACTTATAGCATAGACTGTCTTATGAACACCTTACAAGAAGCACCCAGCTCTTTTTATAAGGTGATCATCCTGACTTTTCTTTGATTCTAGCCAGCTTCCTTTAGTGAGTAGTGCAGTCATCCATGCTTTCAGATTTGGTGTTTAGTTTCCAGAAACAAGTCATAGTCCAACGTATTCTTCTCTGATATATCTCCTAACTCCTAAACTTAGAAATGTGCTTGCATTTCTTGAATTGTTTTATCTGCAAGATGCCTTCCAAGTTAGCTAGACCCAGATATCTTCTATCTTCCTGTCAAGACTGTGCAGACATCTCCCTTACTGAGGATGCTGCATAGCTAGAGGGTTCATATTAAGGGAAATGGAAGCTTACAGAGCTAGTACAAATGTTTTTCTTTTCCTTAATTCCATCTCACAGGCAACCCTTTTCCTCAGAGTGAGGAGCCTCTTTTGGGGAGTGGGGGGGGCTGCTTGTCAGTAAGACAACAACAGACTCTTTTCAGGAGCAACAGAGATTAGATGAAAATGAATTGCTGCCTTCATTGAATTTGTAATTGTTCATTCTCCCAGAATTGCATCTTATATACACATTTCTACAATACACAAGATTAAGAAGCATTTTTTAAACATCAAATTAAATATTTAATACCAGATTTTACTCTGAAGTCACCTCTTGTTCTTCCAGTCAAAGAAGGGTATAAATAATTACCTGCCTTCTTATTAAGGGATTAAGTTCTGGGTACCCATCAAAACTTGGAATAAAATTGTTTGCCCCCAAGAAAGAAACTTACCTGAGCAGCAGCATTTCTGAAATGATGCTTATCCAAACCCAATCTAACCAATGTGCAGACTACTGTACACCTTTGTAGTTTCCTGAACAGGTAGTCTGAACACTGGGCAGGTGGGGCCAGAATCCAAAAGTTTCCTTTCCATTTTGTTCTCCTTTCTTAGGGTTGTAAGTAGAGGAGTTCTATGGAAAAAATCCACTTTTTTTCCTTTGACGTGGCAAAGCCGGCAGCTGAATCCAGTCTGGAAAATAGTTGGGGCCTTTCAGGAAATCATGGTGGGGAGGCGGGTGTATGGTTTGTGGCCTCCATACAAAAGAACACGTCACTTTTTGGACTCTGTGTGTGCATGCAGTGTGGAAGGGAGGGAGGCAGCATCTGGAGCTATAAACACTTCCAGATGTGGGGGTTTTGCAGGGGCTGTTCTCTGTGACTCATAGGACGATGGGAGTTCTCACTTTTGCTGGGCTGCATCTTGTTAAAGAAAACTGTTTTAGAAGCCTGCTCTTTCATTCCCAAGTTCATTGTTTCTACATTCCTTCCATCAATTTTTAAGTTGTTACAGACTTCCATTGGTAAAACCTTTACCTTTTTCTTCTCAGTTTCCAAGTCAGGGGTACAAAAAGCCTGACAGGTTTTTTTACAGGCCACAGAACTCCTCCAAAGTTGCCAAGTCTATCCAAAAAAATCACTCTTCTTTTGTGTGTTTTGGGAGGGTTGGGATTTGCCCTTGCAGTCAGCTTTGTAAAAGGCATGAGGAATCCATTTCATCATCAAAATACCTAACCACCACTAAAAGTCTGAGGATGTTGGTTTCAAAAACTCTGTATAAAATTATTAAACAAAATCTGAATGATTTTCACCAGATATTGTAGGGGGGGGGGAAACTAAATGAGGAAATTTAAAATGCTTGGGCATTGGAAAAATGGTATCTTAGCGTTTTTCTGACAGCCTTAACAGGAATATAACAAGAGTGTTTCAATACAGCATATTTGCAAAAGAAAACTCTCTTTCAGATTAAGTAGTCAATGAAAAGGAAACCTCTGTGTGAATATGAGTCTTTTGGTGTCAGTCTAAGAGACTTGATGTAGGCATGGCTAAAACTCTGGCTTTGCTGGGATTTGTTTACCATTAAAGAACTTTTTTATTTTCTTTTTCTTCATTTTAACCAATATCCTTCCTATTAGAGTACCAACTTCACTTTTTAAGGAACAAAAGATCACATGTAGCTTTGTGGGTATTTTCCATCTCTTATAGGAGAAAGAAAAGAAATATATGCTGCCTCTGGACAACCTAAAAATAAGAGATGTGGAGAAAGGTTTCATGTCCAACAAGCATGTCTTTGCCATTTTTAATACAGAACAAAGGTAAGAGTAAACCTCCCCTTCATTCCAGATTGTTATAAGAAGTTGTTTAAATTCCTTGACTCAATTCACATGGATAACCTTGCCAGAAAACCAAAATGACAGAGACTCGCAGATTAGTGTTTGTGTCTGATAATCTTTCTCTCTCTCTGTGTATATGTGTATGTGTGTATATATATAATAGAATATATATGTGTGTGTGTACATATATGAGATAGAATGAATATATATATATATGTATACACACACACACACACATACACACACAAATGCACACACAAGTAAGCTGCAAGTTTTGTTCCGTCTTGTAAAAATACAGTATTACATTATAGCACAGACTAATAGCATTTGCATGAAAGCACTGATCTAGAAATTCAGTGTTTTTTTGTTTTAATGAAATAGCACTTTTTTCTCTTGCCTTCAGCCACCTTTCATACATATACTTATATTTTGAGAATTAAGTCAAATGTTTAACTTTGTCTTTTGTTGTATATGTTGTGGTGGAAGTTGGAGCTGTAGCAGAGCCAGGAACTTTACAAGGGTTTTGGCTGTGCTGTGGAGATACTGTTTTTGAAAAGAGATTAGCAAAGTACATTTGGTCTCTTGGCTTGTACAATAATTTCCATAAAATCTCCTTTAAAAAGTAATCACAGACAGTTCTCTGGTTGGATGAAGAGGAAAAAGTAGATCAAAGGAGAGCAGAGGTATATAGTGGTTAGAGCCTTTCCCTAATCTGTTGCTTTTTGAATATTTTAGACTACAATTTGAATCAGCCCTAAATGGTCAGCAGTGATAAGAATTGTATTTGAAAACATCTGGAGAAAAACAGGATGGAGACGCACATGTAATCCAAGGAAATGAAAGGCTGTTGATGATGAACACAAACTGTTCTGGGCATATAATGGCTAGCTAGAGTCGAAGTTCTGTAATATCTGATGAATCTTCCATCAATTGATATTTCTTAGAGTTTTACACATATATACATGCACATTATCCCTTTCGGAGTAAACAACATTATGCAAAGTAGAAAAAGAGCAAGTAATAGTAAGCAAAAGAAATTGGAGGCAACCCCTCCCCAAACAAACGGAAGAAATGTTTAAATTTAGTTTACACTAGCAACATTCATTATGCCTCATTCTCTTTGCCAGCCAACCTTGCTTCACATTTGTTCATACATCAGTTCATTTTGTTCTTTTGTTCTTTCTCTTTTCGAAGTTCTCCTCTACTCCATCCAACCATAATTTTCTTGGTCTTTCTCTCAACTCATTTTCTCTTCTGTCATATATTTTGTGATTCAAATCTCGCTCATTCTCGCTATATAATCAAATCACTTCAACATACTTCTTTTGTACTTGTCATTTACTTTTGTATTCAGTTCACATTTATTCATCATTCATTCATTATTTTTTTCTTCTTGTTTTTCCACACACATTCATCCTGCATTCAACTGACTTTTGTGTTTCTCCTGATATACAGGTAGTCCTCGGGTTATGACCATTCATTCAGCAACCGTTCAGAGTTGCAGCTGTGCTGAACAAATGGTACTTATGAACAGTCCTTGGAGTTTCAGCTGTCACAGTGTCCCCACAGTCATGGGGGACTTGGTACCGGGTGCTTGGTACCCAGCTTGTGATTGCAACATCACAGTGAGCTGTGGTCACGTGATCGTGATTTCCAACGTTCCTTGCAGGCTTCCCACAACCAAAGTCAATGGGGAAGCCAGCAGGAAGTTGAAAGTTGTGATCACGTGAGGTCCTTTCTTAACGACCCATGTGGTCCTCATTTAACAATGGCAATTGGTACTGCCAGGCTTGCTGTTGCTAAGCAGTGTGGTCATGTGATGACATGCTTTACGACCGCATTGCTTAGCAATGGAAATTCTGGTCTCAATTGCCGTTGTAACCCGAGGAGTACCTGTACTCACATTTCCACTTAAAAAGTGGGTGAAGTGCATACTTTATACTCAGCGATTTTTGCTTCTCTCAACAACAACAGACAACAGATATTACCCATTACATTTCTATCAGTATTAGCATATCTTAAAATTTCTCCATATATTTTTCCATTTCCCCCATCAACCTTGGTCTTCTTCATGGCATATATAATATTCACTCAAATCATTTGGGTTCTGAACCAATCACAGAGGTCATCTGCATAGAAAAGTACACAAACAATCTTATTCCCCAACCAACATGCTGCTAATGTCATTATAGGCAAATCAAAAATTATTGGCTATATTTAGTAAATACAGATCTGTATGATATTTCTGTTATTCTTAGTGCATAATGTGGATGTTTTCTCTCATTTAATTAGATGTGTAATTCCTTTGTTCTCATGCATTCCTACTCTAGAAATGTATACAAAGATCTGCGTCAGATTGAACTTGCCTGCGATTCTCAGGAAGACGTGGACAGCTGGAAGGCATCCTTCCTTCGTGCTGGTGTTTATCCTGAGAAAGACCAAGTAAATATTGCTCAGATTTTTAGCTGAAATGGAGGGAGGGAATTGCTAAAGGATTTCCTATCAGTTATTGCCATTGTCTGGAAGCTCCTCGTGCCTTAAAATCAGGGGTGGGCAACCTTTTTCATGCTGGGTGACACAATGCAACAAACTGGCAGAAGATTGCAGGGAGCTCTTCAGGTGTGGTGCTATCACTGAAGAGGTTGAGGCCTGACCTTTTCAGCCAACTTGTGTTTTTGAAAATTGTGAAGGTGTTTTAAGATAAGGAACAGATACATTTTCCCTCACAGAGGCCTATTTTTTCTGTTTTTATTTTGTCATTTTCATGCCAAAAATGCAACCTTGAAAATCTGAAAATGTCAGATTTCAGCAACTATCTTAAGTGGTTTAAGTGCTGCCAGGAGGAATCAGATACAGATAGCCCTTGCTTAATGATCCTAATTGGGACCAGAATTTCCATCACTAAGTGAAGCAGTTGTTAGGCGAAATATCACGTGACCACACCAGTTAGCGATGGCAGTTCCTGTAGTCCCAATTGCAGTTGTTAGGCAAGGACTGCGCTGTTGTTAGGCAAGGACCTCACGTTTTTTCTGCCCTGCAACTCCCCCTACCCACCTCTCCCCCCCAATCTCTGCCCTTTTGGCCGCCCTACACTCCCCAGCTGACCTTCACCATCTTCCTCCTGCTGCTGATGAGGTGTGCTGGGCTGAGGCAGCTGCTGGCCCTTCATGAGGCCTTGTGCAGCCTTGCGAAGGGCCAGCAGCTGCCTTGCACAGGTGCACCTCATCAGCAGTGGAAGGAAGAAGATGATGAAATGGGGGTGGCAGGGGTGGCAGAGTGCAGGGTGGCCCAAAGGGCAGAGATGGAGGAGAGAGAACAGGTGGGGGGGAGTTGAAGTGCATACTATAAATGCAGTTGGGCTGTCAAGTGCCCAAATTTTATCACATGATTGCAGGGGCGCTGCAACGCCTATAAGTTCAAGGTCCGGCTGTAATTACTATTCGTTCAGTGCCATCATATCTTTGAACGATTGCTGAATGAATGATTGTTAAGCAGGGGGAAACAAGTTAATTCTTCAGGACTAACATGGTAATTGTTCAATACAGAAATCAGTAGCTTTGCTTGCTGGGCATTATATTCTGAATAAGACAGATCATGTTCCAACATTTTTATAGTATTTCATTAAGACTTTTTGGGAAGAAGTAAGGAAGTTGAGAGAAATTCTCCATCACAACCTACTGAAATTAAGTTACAATGTAGATGCAAAAAGTACAGGTAGTCCTTGTTTAGCAACTGCCTTGTCAAACGACTGTTTGCAAATACAGTGGTAATAAATGGTAGTAAAAAAATCATTTTCTGACCAATGTGCACACTTACAACCAAATTTCATGTGCCTGACACAGTGCACACCAGAGTGAGAGTAATGATGGCATAGCTGTACAAGAGACCTTGATCTAAATGAGATAGCAGCAGCCAGCAATCTTCGCAGTGTCTCACACTGTGTTGTGGTTCACTTAACGACTGTTGCTTAGCAACCATTTCTCCAGAATCAGTTGCGGTTGCTAAACAAGAACTACCTGTAGTATTGATATGAATAAAGAAGAATTCAAGAGCCAAAAATAATGACAAAGCAGATATTCCTTTGAGACAATCCAGACATCCAGTCTTTATCATCACTAGGAATTGAGTGAAATGAGAAGCATGATCAGTTGAGATAAAGGAAAACTTTTATTTTGCATAAAAGTTGAGTTTCTTAGTCAAATGTGCAGATGATATAAAATGCTTTTAGACATTTAATACTATTCCTGAATTAGCTATGTAGCAATGCCCATTTTTCCTACATGCAGGTAGAAAATGAAGATGGGGTTCAGGAAAATACCTTTTCCATGGATCCTCAACTGGAACGCCAAGTAGAAACTATTCGCAATCTTGTTGATTCATATGTTGGGATCATCAACAAATCCATCCGAGACCTTATGCCAAAGACAATAATGCACCTAATGATAAATAATGTAAGTATGGGTTGATAATTTATTTTGCCTGGGTGGCAGAGGGTTGAAGCTTGATGTTGTTCTTAGGCCCAACAGATCATCTCTCACTCTCAAAATAGCAGTTGTAAACCTCACAAATTATTACTTTTTAAATAATAAAAAATTCTGTTCTCTCATGAACAGGTTCCTTAGAAAGCCTGATTGTACAGCTTCTAATGGTTCTAGGGGCTCTTATATGCACATATTTGGAACCTGTAGGATAGCTGTGATATTACAGTAGAGTCTCATTTAACCGACCTTCGCTTATCCGACATTCTGTCTTATCCGACGCCCCTAAAAAAACCACAACACGCATAAATCAACGAGAAAAGTGTGCTGCTTGTGTGCGAGTGTGAGTGTACTCTTTCTTGTCGCTCCTGACAGTGCAGCATCGCAACGCAAAAATGAATTGCAACAGGCACAGCAGATCTTTTTTTTTTTTTTTTTAACCGCACTCAATCATTACTGTGTGTTATCCAACATTTTCACTTATCCGATGTTCTGCCGGCCCGTTTATGTCGGATAAGTGAGACTCTACTGTACTTTTGCCTCAAATAGTTTGTCCACAGGTATATAATTATCTCCTGTTGTGAGTGTGGAAGAGCAGGCTGCTTAGCAAAATTGCAGGCACCTATGCTGCCTTCTTTCCCTCCCACTTGAGCCTTCTCCCTAGAATCAGGCATGGCAGAATTGCCAGTAAACCTGCAACCTTGACACAGGTGTGGGAGGAGGTGGGGGGAGACACGTGTTTTGTTGCTCTGCAGCCACCAGCAGCCAAATAAAAGAAGGCGTTTTTCCTGCAGAAGGAGTGAATGGTCCCAAAAAGAGGGAAAGAAGTATAGCAGCACAGCAAGGCAAAGCACAATATAAAAAATGTGTAAGAGCTCTACATGCTGGCCATTAACAGAACAAGAAGAAAATCTCAGAGAGAGGGGACTTAAGACAGGACAGGCTTAAAAAAGAGATGTTGATCCCTAATAGTAATAGTATAGGGCATAGTATATAGGTAATTATAATAGAATAATAGGTAATAATAATAGTAATTGAATAGTAATAGTATAGAGTATTATATAAACATTGTCATAGTATATTGTAATAGTAATTATGGTAATAGTATAGATAGTAATAGAAGAAATACTCACATATAACTTCTATATGTTTTTTTTTAGAAAATAAAATACCTTTCCAGTCCTTACAGGGAGATATAAAGAACACCTGTCCAGGGTCCAGTGCGTTTGTGTCTCTCTTGAGTCTGGGTCAATCTAATTGGGTACAATTTAAAAAAGAACCCGTGACAATGCAAAAAAATCTTAGTATGGCAGCTACACTTAACCTGATTTTCCAACAAAAATTGTTCAGCATTATCAGGTACCCTACTCAGAGGCCAAAAATACAGGGTTTTTAAAATATATATATATTACCCTCTGCCATTAGAAGGTTGTCTGTCCCTGTTTTAATCCTTAATATGGTTTGTTTCATTTAGATTTAATGTATTATGTGAATTCGACCATTGTGGTTTTTAAACCTTGTTTATTAGTGTGTTACATGAGCTCAAACAACCATATGATCTATGGGAACCCAGCCATAATGCAGCAGATAGTGGAGGCCAGGCTAGTCTTTGGAAATACTGAGTGCAGCATCCCATGTGGCTGTGGGGGAAGTGCCCTTCCCTGTCACTACTTCCAATGAACTGATGGCCCGGGTTAAGATTTAAACCAGCCTCTTGATGTTACTCCACTCTTGATCTATCCAACCCAGCCTATTGTACTTGGAAAGCATTATATTTTCTATATGCCCAATATCACCTATCCCTCACAGACCAAGGAATTCATCCACTCGGAGCTGCTGGCCTACCTGTACTCCTCTGCAGACCAAAACAGCTTGATGGAGGAATCAGCAGACCAGGCACAGCGCAGGGATGACATGTTGCGAATGTACCATGCCCTGAAGGAAGCACTGAACATAATTGGAGACATTACTACCAGTACAGTTTCCACACCAGTTCCTCCTCCTGTGGATGACACGTGGTTGCAGGCTGGGAGCAGTGGGCACAGGTGAGTTGGTGTAGGAGTTGGTTCTATTATGCTGTTTGTTAAGGTGGGGGATGGGACTTAGCAAAGCCACAAGTGACTGTCACAGCTGAATGGGATCAGTCCAGATTCTTGACTTGGCACTGTATAGTTGGCTCATCCCTTCTAGAATGTCAACACTGAACTAGATACATGATCCTGTATGTGTGTGTGTGTTAGTAAGGCTTCTAACTCTGTCATAATATTGTTCAGCAGGATTTTCAAATAAGATTTTTTTGTACAGCAGATTTTTTTTTTACCTAAAAGAACACTCTTGTACTGCTTTTGAAATAAACTCTTTATGCATTATTGCTGGGTGCTTTGCCTGAAAATTAACAACTTTATTTGGAGTTCTATTACCTTAAATTATGTTGTTTTGATATGTCTTTTTTCTTTCCTTTACAGCCCAACTTCACAGCGCAGGCCTCCTTCTACTGTGTTGCCTCCAGGGAGACCTCCAGCTGTGAGAGGCCCCATGCCTGGCCCTCCCTTGATTCCAGTGCCAGTAGCAGGCTCATCCTCTTTTATGGCACCACCCATTCCTTCACGACCGCAAAGTGCATTTATTGCTAACAATGACCCTTTCTCAGCCCCGCCTCAGATTCCCTCACGACCGGCGCGTATTCCACCTGGTATCCCTCCAGGTGTACCCAGGTAAGGGCCAGTTCAGAATTCCCTCAGCTCATTTTTCCTTTGACTTGGAGGGCTATGGCATAAGTCTGGAGCTTATGGAATAGTCACAGTCTTTGTCCCTGCATAAACTTATTAATTTTGAATAGATATAGAAGATACCTATATTTAGATACTCTCTAGAAAACTAGAAAATAGCTTATGCAGCATCTTGGTATGGTGCAGTTTTTCTATAATGGTTGAAAGATCTGGGTAAACTTTAAGAGCCTTGTTCCTTTCACATCCAAAGAGGTAATTTTTGCCTTGACTTTTTCTTCAAAAGCTGAAATGGGAGGGAAGGAGAAAGAGACGACATCCATTTAAACTTAGGCTGTCCAGAGGATAAGCAATAGTTCTATAACATTTGCTTGCTATCTAGTTGAATCCAAAGGCACGGGGAGGGGAGGGTTTGCTGCATATGGTATAGAAGTTCAGAAGCAGGCAAGTTAAATGGGCAGGTAGGTTGGAGCACTTGTATTTGGCAATGTCTGTCCAATTTACACCTTCTATTTCTCTGTTTTCTCTGCAGCAGAAGACCCCCTGCAGCACCGAACCGGCCCACCATTATCAGACCAACTGAGCCCTCCTTGTTAGATTAACCACAATCACTACCCAGAGGGGAAGGCAATATTGCTTGTTAACTATCTTGTGGAGAGAACTCATGCTTAATTTTTTGTGTAAAAGAGCTCTTTGTAACTGGTCAGTTATAGCCAAGGCCCATTTTTCCCATTTCTCCTCTTCCCTTTCCTTCCCACAATAATACAACCACGGCAACAGGTGTCAAGGAATAGGTGCTGTCGGTTGGTTACCTGTAAATAGCTCTGAGAGGCCAAGCATTCCTGTAGTATTTCTCTCTCTATCCCTGGGTCTTGGCTAGGGAAGGATTTGGTGACCAGTGTCTTCCCTTCTGGGAAGAGGGGGATTGATTTCTTCACGATTTTTCATGGTGGCCATACCAGGCCCATTCCACATGGGAACATGGAGGATTCTGTTTTGTGGAATTGTTTTGCACTTTGTTGGAAATAGAGAAACAACCCCCTACTTGAGTGATTGTGATGAGAGTGCCTGTGAATGTGTAAAAGTGGAGAGTTTGTATTTCCACTAACACTTGTTAGAATCTCCTTCTGCCATTAATGTTGATTGGATTTGTCTATCTTCTCCACCACCCTTTAATTTCTTTGTGTTATAATATATATGAAATCTCCTTCTTAGACTGCTTTACCTTTCCACCATGACATTTTAGTACAACATTGATCAATTTATTTCTATATAGCTCTGAAAAATAATGGAACTGCAAATAAAAAATGGCTAATAAATCCAATATATGAAACTGGAGCAAGATTTTACCAAACAGAATAATTGGAAGGAGGAAGGCACCAAGTTGTTTTTGAGCCTCAGGTATAGTGCTGACTTCTATGCCATGCTACCCTTTGCACAACCAGTGATTATGCTTCAATGGAAGCGGCAATCTTATGTTGCCAGCTACAGCCTGGGATGAGCTTGATGTAATACCAGGGAAGACCAATGGCCAGTTGCAGGGGATGTCTTAGTCATTTTAGAACTATCACTTTAATATAAGATTGGCCAGGATGATTACTCAGCCTCCTATGGAGAAGTGGTAAGGGAGAGGCAGGATTTCAAAAACTTTGCAAGATTGTCATCGTTTGCAGAGATTACTACTGTGGAAAGACTTTCCTGTTTGCCTCATGCAGGAGATTTGTTTGTCCTTCAGTTCAGCTTGACTATGTTCGCTTCTAGGTTGAGGCAGATTCTTTATGGCAAATGCTGTCCCAAAATAGATTTCATGGCACCAGTGATTAAAGTTCCCTCTGTCCCACAGGAACTCATATAGGAGTCTGTGGTCTCTGAAAAGCATTTTTTTTCATGTTGGCTACTCCATCTTTTGAATCATTATTATTCCAGGAGTTTGTGGAACAAGACTGGAGCCTTGTGAACAGACTAGTAAAGCACTCTGCCCTCCCTGGGCTGTGGTTGTATATATTTCTTCATAAAACAGACTGTATTGATACTTGTATGATTCTAGATTTTTTAAAGTAAGACAGTTGCCCCCACCCACTCTCACTTGTACAAGTGTATCAGGGATACCTTTGCCCTTCCTGCGACAAGACATATGGAACAGCAATACAAAAACACGTACCACCTGCCTTAATGCTTCCTTCCAATGACCTCTCCCTTTTTATTTGACCTGGAACAGAAGTTGCTTGCCTCATGTCCTAGAGTATATAACCTTTCCAGAGACAGTGCTAACTTTGTGCCTTTATTATTGCTTAAATTCTATGCCATCTGCCTGAATAACCAGCACTGTCTTCCTGTAAATGTCCCTCTATTGCCAAAGTCATTACCAAGGGCTTTGAACCTCTTTTGCAGTACAAAAACTTCTCCAAAAACTGGTGCTTGCCTGGTAGCATGGACTTCTACCTTAATTCATTTGTTCTGATTTGTTGTCTCTTGACTCTTTGTTACCATGTGTGAAGGGGTTATTATATCTTCTCTCCATCTTTAGAAGAAAAAAGCTCCCAGCAGTTTGAGATAAGTGCCTCCATTATGTATCCAATTAATAAACTAAAATAAAGGGAAATTCTGCTGGTGGAAGGTCTCTACCAATTTGTGGTGTTGACTTTTTATGCATTTTTTATTCTATTAGTTCTCAACACATACTTAAGGACTATTGGGCTTGGAGTGAATAGAAAAACGTAAGTTCATGTTTCTCTTAACTAACTTCTGTCCAAATAGCAATAGCCTGAGTAATCTCTGATTTCTTGAGCCTGCTTGGTATGATTTCTGACCTGGAGGCAAGTAGTATCTAGTAAAAGCAACTGAATTTACAATTACAGACTTAATGACACTAATGCAACTAATACCTTTATCCTACCTTTTGTATGGATGTTTACAGTTATTCTTCCCCTTACTATTTGTCATCTCACAATTAAATTATAGTGATTAAACAAGTATTTTAAAAGTGACTCTTGTAGGATCTAGTGGGATATATGGAGCAGGTCCACCTTGTATTGCAGAACTTGACCAGCCTCTGTAGCAGAAAGACCATTAATATAGAGAAAGGTGTTAGTTGCCTCTCTCAAAGGAAATCCCCATATAGTGTTGCAGACATAGAAGACCTTTCAACAAATAGTAAGGAATTCATTCAGTTGCTCATATTGAAGGGTAAATATATCTTTAAGTTACCCAAATTTATAATTATAGTTTCATGTATTTTATGCATATAATAATCATGAAAAATAGTAGATTTCAGACACATATTTTCTAATATATTTTTGTAATATTCAATTTATTATGATGTTAAATTTATCTCTTACAAATACATAGAATGGACTGAGCAAACAGAAGGGTTTTCCAATCCAAAGTTATATCCCAAACTAGCACATTTTGCCCAATGTGTTACTGTTATTTCTTCATGCACTATCTTGCTAAAGTATTGCAGCTCTTACAAGCTTTCCAATGGATTATGTCTATGTATAGTCCACTGTCCCAATCAATTGTATGCCACATCCAATGACATGTTATACATGTTTTAGATTTCATTTTTATGAGTTTACATTTTTGCTTTTAAAAATATTGTTAATTTTTTTAAAAATTGCCCAAAATGCGTAATACGTTTAGGTTGTGGAATAAAACGTTGGGTTCCATCCATGGCTAATTGGTTTAATGGATAATAGGTCTCCTTAAGGGTGACTTTGGTTACATCCACAAATTAGTTATGATTAATAATTTCTTCTTCCCCAAATACTTCCTAACATTGTTGCAGTCTTTCCAAAATATAGGTGAAATTGGATCTGTCAGGTACATCTCTAACCATTTGTGTTATAATTAGAATGGAGTATTTACATGATTACTTAAATTGATGTAAAAAAATTCTTAAATGGTTGTTCCCAGTTATTTGGACAAAGATTTTAAAATGTTTATTTTTATTACTTCTAAAAAAGGCTACCTTGTATGTTTTACTCTTATTTTATTTGAGAGTTAAAAGGAAGCATTCTAAAATGAAATTTGCATTATTTAAAAACTAAACTGTGGTTCAAAAAATTATTGTATCCTCCTACAATTGTATGCATGTTCAATTGAGATGACACCCTCAGAAGGATTTTACAATCCATTTTCCTTCATTTTCCTCTTTCAAGAATTAAACCCACTAATACAGTATTTGTAGTGCTTCTCTTTAAAACACATAGACTGAAATGCAGTTTAAACTTTTTAAAAAAATATTTTCATCCATACGATTTTTAGATGTCTTAAACCTCATATTAGTCAGCATACCAGATCTTATACTAATCTCCTACATGGTCCTATGGATTAAAGAGCAAGAATAGGAGTAAATGGACAGTTTTACATTGGAGAGACATAACACAGTATGGTTTATTGGAACAATTACTTCTTGCTTATAAATTGCCTGAGTTAGGCATGTACAATCAGATTTCAAAGTTTATAATAAATGAAATTAAATGAAAGCCCCACCCCTGGACTGGATAAATAGCCCATAAAAAGGCAAGTGCCCTTCATAGGAAGCACATGTGAAGTAATACATTATTGATTCTAAAAATCCCAACTTCTTGTATATATTAACGGGTCTGTGCTGAAAATGACGATCAAGACAGTGACCTTGGGAGTCCTGGTGAATAACTAAATATAATGTTAGTGCAGTAATGATAAAAAAGGAACTGTGGGAGTAGAGGGGACTTCTGTGTTTGGGATCATTAGGAACAGAAATGAAAATAAAACTGCCAATATAACTGTGCCGTGTATATAAATCTCTAATGAAATCCCACTTGGAAGATTGTGTGCAGGATTGATTGATTGATCATATTTGTATAGCTCATAGTGTGATTCTATTTATATAGATCATAGTATGATCTCTAGACCTCAAAAAATATTGGTAGAACTGGAAATGGGCAATCAAAATGATTAGTGGAATAGAGCTCTGTTATGAGGAAGGACAAAATATTGGAGCTTTCTAGTTTAGAGTGAGTGTTGATAAGGGGAGCTTATAGAAGGTGATATTATAGAAAGTCATGTGTAGTGTGGAAACGTGGACAGAACAAACTGCATCACAATCTTAAAACCCAAGATCATCCATTAAAACTAACAGAAGAATTTGATATACTGCATAGTTAAATTATGGGATTTATTGCCATCCAATATGATACAGAGGCACCCATTTAAATTATTTTAAAAGGGAACTCAATTCAGATTCAGAAAGGATCAGGCTATACAGAATACAGAATACTTTAATGGCCAAGTATAAAATATATACAAGGAATTTGTCTTTGGTGACGAACGGCACGATCCACAGTGTGTTTGGATAGCAACAGAAAAATAATAATAACACTACACAGAAAAATAACTTTTTCAAAGGGAGAAGCCATTGTCCAGCA